TACTCACTTAAGAATTTGGGAGCATTAAACTTTATTGAAATCTTTTGAATTACTTGAATTCTTTTAAGAGTTTTCAGATGAGGTGATTGTCCTTGATACAATTTATTTAATGTTTAAATCTGAAAATCAAAAGTGCACTAGCAAAATAAGATCACTTGATGAGATACTCGTCAAATTCCGAACTAAGGGATGGATGAATGTCTACGATCTACGTGCTAAGGTCTGACTACCAATAAAATATGACATCCCATCTCGACTTTATTGAAACACTAACTAATCTCTAAAAAATCGGCTAACTGATCACAATTAACATGCACAATCCTATACATTCCTACTAAACAAAGCATAATAATGAACTTGTTCAACCTGCGTGCAACCCAAACAAGTTCGTAACATGTAATACGCGATTAATAAAACCGTGGAGTGTCAGTGACGAGTGACAGCGGAGAGTGGTGACGGACGGCGGACGTAACGCGTCATTACCGGGTGCCGTCAGTGACAGCGTGACGGCACTGACGGCAGTTATTAACAGCCACACCTGACACCTGACACGCGCTGACTTATGGCTGAACACAGATCAATGTGCTCGAGGGGCGGAACAAATTGGGACACTGTTCTTGGTTACCTTTATTGAATTTTTGAGATAAGTTATGATAACATCATATTGTCACAGTCTTGTCAATTTAGTTTGAATTAAAGGTGTTTTTTAATGAACGCTAACTAGTTAAGGTCACCTTCATATATAATATGTTCGCGATAAATGTCTTATGTTAAAGTTTATCTGGTATATAGTAACTATGTTGAAACTGGGAAGAAGGTCCTTAATTTATTGCCACAAGGATTTCATTTCTCAGTTTTGTCGGTAACCGTCGGTACTGACAAACTCGGTTTTTAATCATAGTTGGTATGTGTTATGTTTCACACAGATATAGTTAAGACATGTACTATCAGTGGAGTGGTCATATGGGAACTTGACAACCAGTCAAACTTACTAAGCAAAAACGTAATTATTTGTCGAAGAAATAAATACAATATTATACTGAAGTATTTAACACAATAAGACGTGTTTATAAAGATATGATATCTTTTAAAGACAGACAAAAAGAGTAACACAAGCACAGTTTTTGTAGGTCTTCATTCGGGATTGTAATGAACAATCAAGAGCCTTCATTCTTCTCATTGAAGTTTCTTTCATTCACTCGTTCTCTAATTTCAAAATGGATCCGACCGTTTAGCCGTCACATTGTTCTATTTCGAACAATGACGTATTTTACAAGCGTATACTTTTGTAATTCATTACGGCCCTGACAAGGATTCTCCTGGATTTACTTTAATTTTGATGATTGTTCTATTTATAGCTTAGCTTTAAAGGTTATTTTGTTTGAGTCTAAATTCTTTGCATTTTAATTTAAGTTCGTCTTTTAATTGCAACGTAATTAACCTTTGTATTTCTGCTTCCAGATGGTGACAAAATTGACACTGCTTCTACTACTCATACAGTTGCATCAAGCCCTCAACCTTCCACTGCGCCAGCTGAGGGAACTGAAGCCTGGCGCAGAGATACCGATGCTGATGCCGCAACACAACGCACCACTCACAGTACCGCACGTCGTCATCCACGCAGCCACCAGAGAGAAGAAGAGTCCCAACATCATCTCCATACCAATACAACAGATCCTTGTCCCCAAGTTCCATATAATTCCTCTTCATCATGCACACTCAAACGTCCACCACAGCGCTGTACACACAGACGTGAAGCATATAATAACACACGACAATGTGAAGATACCAATCATTTCTCAGACTGTGTCCCACAGCACTGCAAATATCACGCACCCGACGTCAGCGTCAGTCATACCGATCCTGATACCACTGCATCATAACCTGGTGCCAGTTCAAGACCTTTCCGTGATACCACTGCAGAAGACAGTGCACAAGGAACAGAAGCTAGAGAGATACACAGTAATGGAGAAGAAAGAAGAGAAAGAGAACGAAGAAGTTAACAGATTCAGAACGTTCTATGGAGGTTACGGCACTGGTCTGTTCTTCGGAGGTCAGGGGGCAGGTCACGGTTTCCACATATTTGGGTAGCAGATATAATTAGTCAATAACGAGTTGTTTGTTTATTAAATTATTTATTTTAATGTTGTTGTTACTCTTATTTCTCTACTCTAATGTGATAAGGTTCTTATCAGTATGGCAGAGTTCATGGCTCATCCCTCTGATTTGTGACAAATATCAAGGCGTCGTACCACTAAAAAAATAATTGAAAGCTTTGTTGATGTTATAAGAGATTGATAACTTGATTTGCTTTTTAAACAAAAGCATGTTATAATCATATTATGTCAACGTGCTAGATTACATTATTAAAACCTTTAAAAAATATGCCTGTTATTCAATCAATGCATACTTTCCTGACAGCTTATACGTAGGCTGATAATCACCTGACTAATTCCTGTTAGCAACAAACTACGTACGTACGTATAAAATGAGAAAATGAAAATTATTTGTCGTGTTCCGAGTATCAGCACGTTGTTTCTGAACACAGTTCTACGTTCATCCGAAACAAAAGTAAAAATAAATATTGTACTAAAAGTTTTCCATTGGCAAATGAATAATTAAGAGCTGTGGCGCCCCTGAACAGTCACATTAAACATTCCTCGGGGAACAATGAAAAATTAAATTACTAAACTAAAATAAAAAAGAGTGAAATTAAAAGCGAAGTCAAAAATTGTGAAATTTTTTACTTGAATTCACCTGCAGGGATGTGCAGTAATAAAATTATGACGTGGCCAAATATTTGGCTCGTGGCAACACACGGCTGCACCGCAATGGCCTGCAGTGTACTTGTATCAACAACGTCAACCACGAAATACCTGCAAAAGTATAGTTACGATAGGTTTGATATATTAACTTGAAAAAAATCTACAATAGCAATAATAGACCGTAAAACACAAAGTAATAAAAATAATTAACTGTAACACAAAAATAAATAGTAGACTGTGTTGGTAAGCACATACCTCAACAACGTCTGGACCAATTTTACCAATGCTTATTTTGTTGTGCTCTTTTTTGCCAGGAAAAGGGATCGAGAAGTCGCTACCGATTCGATACCTATATGAAGCTGGGTGGGACAAGCGGCTAGTTTTGGTATACAATACTGAGTCACTGAGAAAATATCCTACATAACATATTTAAAATATCAGTTTTAAACTTAGAAACAATCTGCAAGTCATTGGGAAGGTTGAGATATCGAATGTCTTGTGGTTCAAATACTGACGATGATTATTTATTAAAAATGGTGTGGTGTACCTAAAATGTAGCACGAACCATTTAAAAAGCAAGCAATACATAGGGTCTGTATCGCTATAAGCTACGCCAACACTAATAGGTCGACATCAGATATAAGTGAACCTTCTGTGTTCCCTGCAACATGCGAAGTAATTGTAACAAATTGTAGCAATGTTTTATTTGTTCCTTTTATCTGGAGTGCGCTACCAGCTGTGGACTATGGAGCGATACGAGCAGACATATCCTCGACTTTATTGATAACTAGCTTCTGCCAGCGGTTTTGTTCGAGTTACTGGGATAAAAATATCGTTATTACCTATATAAAAATAATTAGCATCATAATGCTACTTGTGTTGTTTTATGCGATACCTACGTCTGCAAACGAGCAGAGGGATGGTAAGCAATCAGCCCCGCCCATGGACACCCGCAACACCGGAGGAGGAATTGCGGAAGAATAGGGTTGAGGCGTCGGATAGGGAATGTTTGAATTTGAAAGTTTTGAATACCTTACCAAAAATATCCAAACAGACTGTTTCTTGGTGTGATAAGGTGGCAAACGAAAAGACGGACCACCTATTACCAGACGATAATCAATCAGCGTCGCTAATGGACACTCGCATCACCAGAACTTTTGGGGATTTCAGGATTGAGGGAGGGTTCTGCGATAGCCTCGCTCCTACAGCAAAATATAGTGGAAGCGTTGTTTAACGTCGGTTTTCTGTGAGACGGTCCATTGGTGACAAGATGCCCAATCTTTTTCGCCTGAACTGGGAATCCAAACGAAAAATTTTATGTCAGCGTAACTTTTGTCAAAATTAAGACGATTTAAGTGCGATGTATGAGGTCATTAAATAGAGAAGACTTAAAAATATGTAGATTTTCGAAACATTTAGTTGGTACTCAGCCAGAATTCTGTGTCTCATGACATTACAACTGTTACAAGGAAGCAATACCACAAAAACCACATAATTTGTATTGCATTCAATATAAATTAGCGAATTGGTATTGTTTTAAGTCGCGGTTTTCATATCCTATCTGATTTCCAAGTCGTGCAAGAAATATCAATTTGGTTGTTTTTATTCTGTCCTTGTGCTGAAGGGAATTTCGCGTACCTAAGTCTTGTTTGTTGTACGTTACACTTTGAGATACATTATTATTATTATTACTAGCATTTTCTCTTCTATCGTAGGTGCCGTTATAAATATATAAATTCAAAATAATTTATTTTATTTCTTTTTTCATCTCCTCAAATAAAACCTTTTGATTTATTTCGTTGCGGGAGCCAACCACGGAGCCAACACAGTCATTCATGTCCCTGGGACGTGCCGACGCGCCGACGACTTCAGTGTTGCGGTGTTTTCATGGTTGTATCTACTGTATATCCTAGCTTACAGGAGTTGCAGCTGGTTTGGGAGGTAGTGGCGGGCTTGTCCCATTAAAAAAACAAATTTATAAACACAACATACGCAAACCAGGAATCACAATTAAATCATCTGCATTTCAAAAGATACGATGTTAGAGCCTTAAACTTTTGATTTGACAAGACTATAGCCAAATGTTTTCGAATTCACTCCTACCAACGCGTTGAACCCAAAATCGAATGTTTAACTCAGTAGACAGTTTATCTTAGACGCGCGCGGAACGCGTCACGCCTTAAAGACCCACTAGGTCCACTATGTCCAACCGTGGTTCTGGGTGTAAGCGCAATGATGAACAGCAGCCGATGCTCCGAGCAGAAGAAGGAGCGAGAGTAAGAGACCCTCCTTCGTTGCAACCAGGGCGGGAGAAAACAATTGAAGATTAGAAAAAAAAACAATCACACTTGTCACTCGACCGATGTAAAAAGATGCGAATGACCTGTTTTATGATCAATAAACGTATCTTATCTTATCTTATGATTAGGTACAACATGGTCAGAGACTAGAAGTTTCTAAAAACCAGGTATATTTATCAACAAACGTTTAGGTATTCTAAAATAAAACAATTACCCCGGATATACATACATGACAATACTTCATTCTAGATGGTAAACGAGAATTATTTCAATAGTAAATACCTAATATTTCCGTAAATATAGAAATGTATGCTAAATAAATGACGCGTATTATGGTAGTCCATTGTGTAAAACAATAAGTACTTGCGCGCAGTTATCATTCGTTTAGTCACTGAACTTTCACCGCACCGCTGACAAACGGTCAGTTACTGCCATAAGTTACTAGTCACTGGTCACATACCAGTATTTGTCATAGTGAATTTTGAATAAAAAAACATCGGTCAAAAATCTACTAACACGGATACAAAATACATAATTAATCAATCCTTAAATAATGTATGTGTGTGTGTACAAAAATTTCATCGTCCTAACCAAAGGTTAAAGTTCGAGTTCGCGTTTTCGCGTCAAAAAATGTGTGTTCAATATTTTTAATTCACCAAATTGTCGTGATAAAGTGTGTCTGTGTGTATGATTTATATTTTTGGTAAATAATTGCTTGTGAGCGGAGTTCAAGCGTACCGTTAGGTGTTAAATTAATTTGCTGATATATTTTCTATGTGTGACATTATTTATTTGACGATTTTTTTATTTTAATTTACCTAAACATTTTTAATACTTATTTGTCGTGGCTATAAGGCCGTAATAAATTATCTGAATCGACCTGGGTTATACGGACTCTTCATACAAATGTCTAGAATCGATCTTAATCCACAGCTTTCGGCTTGAGATTGGCTATTAAATTAGGTCGTTGGTCAAATAGACTGTATGTAATATAAAGGTAAACGTTTTAGAAAACGATTTTAAAGACAATCGTTTTATATTAAACTTGTGACTTATGGACATCGATGACGATGAAATCCCAATTGTAACAATTTGTTTTTGTATTACATAATATTTTTGCTTACTTTGCCAGAAGTGGTGAGACGAAGAAGAGGCTTGAATTACTTAAAAAAATATATTATTAATTTATTTTAATTATTTTTTTAAGGGTAATCTGTGTCCGTGACAATTTTCATCAAAATCCATTCAGTACTTTTGACGTTAAAGTGTTAAAAACATCGATCCATCCATCCATAGGTCACTTTCAAACTTTCGCGTTCATAATATTAGTCTTTTTTTTTCATAAAAACACTAGTTTGATATAAGGGTCTTATGCATTTGAACATTTTATTGATATTTTAGTGCAGTGGTACGCGCATGCGCCGGAGTTTCCGTATTGCGTGACGGGCATACTACTGGTAATTCAAAGGACAGTGACATGCCTACACGTCGCAATAAAAACAAAAACAAATTATACTCAATGTCTCTTTTACATAAGACGTGCAATAACAGTAGTATACATTTATTACCTTACTCTTTATGTGGGTGTAAAATTAAGACTTCATAACCCTCGTCTACGTCAAACCAAAAAAGAAGGACTATAGTTTTTGTCAAAAGATTGATCCAGAGTTTTCGATTAAAGAACAACTATTGTTTCGAAACACATTTCAAAGAAAAATATTTTATTAAGTAGGAAAATGAGAACCTTTCCTTTGGCAGGGGAAAATCGTCAAATGACTTCTCCCGCATAGGGCAAGGCGGGGAGAGTGTCAGACTGTTACTGACTAAAAACCCCCCGTTCCTTTTCCTGTTTTAGGTCGAGGCCACGGTGCCACATAGCGCTTACCCCACAAGCATAAAAATGAGTACCTAATAGTAAGATAATTATTCTAATCGAACTAAAGTTTGTTTTGCAAAGTGAAATAACATCGTACAAGAATGTCCTGTACCTACTAAGGGTTAAAAGTTGGCACGAACTCGCCAATGATATTGGCTACTAAAAATGCACAGCGCCACTTACAGACACTTCAAGTCTCGTAAAATTGAACTCCCGGCTAAGTTTAATATCATTTTAGTGTTCTACCGACGAATTTTAATGTGTTTTAATAACCTAACTATATATATTTCACTTTATTTTTCTTTAAAATGGAAGTGTTGGGTGTATGCGCAACGTATATCACGTTAAGCAAATATATTAAGTATCTACTCGAAGCATACATAGACTGGAAAATAAATATTTGATCTTTAAGGACATTGAACCTGCGATGCCGGACGTAGCAGTCTATCGCTTAGTGACTGCATCAACCGTGCAAATAAAATATTGTTCACAAACAAAATTTTTTTTAAACTTTGTCTCACGCTGGTTATTTCTCCCGTTATTTGGATGACATATCCCACCCAGACCTGGAACAATAATTCATGGATCACAAAAAGATTTTCATCACATGGAAATCGTTCGTTGCATGATGTATCTTGATCTATTTTCCAATTATTATAGTAATTCTCTCCAAGGGGGTACTGGGTACAAAAAAAAACATACATTATTAGTTGACATTCGGGGGATTGTTATGAACTTGTCTAAATGAAAAAGTGGAAGCAAACTATGGACCTGGATAGAAGATATTGAAACAATAAAATACACATCCATACGTCTATGACTAATTTCACGTCTGGTAAATGGAGGCTACCCCTACTCAATAATCAAATATCTAATACAAAAATACCAAGCCACATTTTGTACTTCCAACAAGAATACAGAACAAAATCACTGTGACAGTCAAAATAGTTCCCTTCGAGCAAATATAAAAGCAACAGTACCTAATATAACTAGATATTTCAACCCGTCACAATCCCTCGATTTTCGTTCTAACTTTAAAATAAGAAAGCTTCGGTATCAGCCACTTATCTCTAGCAATTCGTTTACGAGTACGCGCCAGTTTTTCCGCGCGACTTAAGCCTCCATTGACTACAATTGCTCTCAACTGAAAGCCGAAAGGGTGAACAAATAGGTCACTGTGCCGGCACTCTGTCTTCTTACACAATTACTTAGTGGATTACTGCTGACACAGACTTCTAACACCAATCGAATACAAACAACAACATTTTACAACTCTCTCTTGTTAATTTTAAACCTTGATGGGGTACTGGCCGTACTTTTCATTTAATGTGTTGATACCAGATCCTGTTTCGTAAGTTAACTTTTTTCAGTTCGGCAAATTATAACATAATGTTAATATTAAAATATTTTAGTAAAGAAGGTTTCTCGGATATTTTTATATTTCATTTATTAACAAAGTGATTTAAATAAAACTACCTACCTCTGCAAAATAACTGTACAGCTAACAAAATCGTAAAAATATTCCACGGGATTGGCGCTGATACAGTTCGGTTACAGATGGCTAAACTATATGTATGTATCGTAAGAAGCCTAGCCTATGAAAAATACGTTTTTAAGAAATAAACATTATTATAATATTATATTATTATATAAATAAAGTTTATTTCAAAAACTGATAATAACTAAAACATGTATGGAACACGGTGGCTGACAAGGCTCTGCAATGTCATATTTCAGCAGACTCGTCGAAGTTAAATTTCCAGTGAATAGTGAATGTAATGTTTTATAAACAAAAGATAATAAAAAAGTGTTTGTAAAAGTGGAAAGTGTGTTAATGAAAGTGAAAAGTATTGTATAATTTCAAATTAATTTCTGCAACAAATATAAGGAAACATTAATGATGCGGTGAGTATAGTTATACACCTAGTAGATAGTTTTACGTATCTATTTAATTTAGGAAATGTAGAAGAGTTACAATTAATCAAGTTACAATTAAATTATTGATTAGACAGGTAACAATTCATTTTTCTATGTAATAGGTCGGCAAATGAGCAAACAGCCTGATGGGAAGCAATCGGCGCCGCCCATAGAGATATTCGCAACACCAGAGGAGTTATGAGTGCGTTGCCGGCCTTTTGGGGATAAGAGTTTCAGAGATTTATTGATTGGGCGTCCGGTACCCTCACTCACATGGCGAAACACAACGCTGTGGTTGTCTCACGCTGCTCTTTTGTGAGGCTGTGGTATCAGTCCGGTCGAGCCGACTAAGTCGTGCCAAAGCATGGTTCTCCCACATTTGCAGTTCGTTCCTTCGAACTATAGTTCAAAGAGCGACTAAAACAATATCTCACAATATTTATTAACTACTTTATTTGCCTCAATAACGAAGACCTTTGTTTCAGCCATAGTCTTGACATTAAAATTGCCATTTAAATTCCAATTTATAAACGCAAATATTTTAAGTTACAGACGGACGGACAATATTGGTACCATTTCATACTTTAATTAAGGCCAGCTGGCAAAGTAGCTTCCATCTCTATACCAGTACTGGCTCTGGGGGAGATCGGGGCTGGTTATTGGTTGGTTTTTTATTATTATATTGTGATTAGTTCATCGATCTGTGGCAAAAAAATCGCACATGACCAATAATTGGTTCTGTTTTGTTCGTTTTTTTTTTTTAACTTAGCTCTACACTATGATTTTCTCCTGTATCTTGGGTTTGTTTACAAACGTACAATTTCACATACACATCACACCATTACCAGGAACAAAGTCTGTGGATCACATGAAGAGACATACCTAACATTGTTCCGTGCGGAAATCGTACCCGAAACACCCAGCCCTCGCCGCGCAGTCAAAGCCGTTAAGGCCACTATACCTTGCTTAAAGCAAGAGTTGGGGGCAGTAGCTACCAGTAGGCCCACGGCAGGAGGAATCATTTGATAATTCCAAAAGTTCCCTTTTGAAACTAACACTTGAACCAACCAACCCCCGGTCTCCCCGACCCGATGTAGGTATATTGTACAGCCAAAGTATAACATCCACAGACCGGTCGTGCTCATCGCGCTGGCAGTCTCCGTCTGCGTTCAAAGCGAAGCTCCTCGTGGTAAGAACTGCTCCAATAATTACTTGGAACTATGCTCACCGTTACTTGTTCTACTAATTAACTTTCCTTCGATATGATTTTCTAACACATTTTTTCGATAATATGATGTAACTTGTTCAGCTTTGGTCGACCATGTCTCATGATCTTATAACCATAATTAGAATTAGTTTCTTAACAAGCTGCTCCTCATTACTCAGGGTACGTACTGAACAAGGCTGCCGGTAAAGCATACAAAGTGATGTACCAAGCACAAAGTTGGACTCGCGCGAAGGTGGAATGTGAAGCGAATGGCGCTACACTGGCGGTGCCGAAATCACCGGTAACTATCGTGTAGATATATATTTGTTTGTACCTTGAAGTGATCCATTGTAATCCCTTATACCCAATCGTGTTATATTCCTAGGAAAATTTAAGATTCAATAACAACACGTACCAAGTATACAAACTCTCACTCACACGAAAATTATATTTTTCGAATATGAAGAAAACACTTTTACTCACTTTCCCTGTCGTTCATGATTAATAATTCAAAAGTAAAATAAAGCTGAAGCTATGTTCCGAGTTCGGCCCGCCAGGGAGGGCGTCACAAACTCGGCACAACTTCAGTGTAAGGAGGAAAAAGTTAAGTGACAGCCAGAACGAGAAGCAATCCAAGTTTGCGCGCTCCGAGGCTTCGAGCACAGTTTTAAGAAACAACTTACAATAAGTACAATGGCTACACTGCAACATTAAATGGTAGACTAGTTGAGGACGACTGCCGATGTGCTGATACTCTTCACCTCCAGTGTCGGATTAAGCGTAGTCCGGGCCCCGTGGAAATAACTCGAAGACTTGACTATATTTAATTTTATAGGGCCCCGTTTTTGCGTGGGGCCTGGCTACGTGACTACTTCGGGCCTGTACACTTTATGTTCTGCAAAGACCACTCGGCAACAACGCCGATTTCGTTCCGTGCTCACTAAATTAAAATAGTTCGACTCTCGGTTCGTCGGATGCAAACTTACATTGAAACAAACGAGCTCCTACCGTCATACTATACAGTTTTCATTTGTAGAGATGTAGGTTAGGTAGGTGTTAATTAACATGATTGTACTAATGGAATTGATGATATGAAAAGTGAGCAAAAGTACCTACATCATGAATATGTTACCTATTATCCCGAAGGTTTTTCTCAGTCAAAGTCAAAGTCAAAGTCAAAATCATTTATTTCAATTAGACCCATACAGGCACTTTTGAACGTCAACACAACTTTAAAGATACAAAGTGTCAGTCTGTCGGTCAGTCCTCTTAGTGAAGCTATTCGCTCGTTCCAAAGTGTAGATTCCGATGGAGAAGAACGAGCAAGAAAAATCATTTCTGTGATCGGTACTACATACGTCATAACAAACTAGATTCGGCTGAATGTCAGTATTTATCACGTTGCATGTGTGTGTTTGACTTACCCTTAATAATTCAGACGTTATCCAACCATACCGCAAGATTACGTACTCCACGTGCCAACTGCCCATTACACCAACTAATTGTATCCAACCCATCATGAAGCTTGTATAAATTAGACACCCTTTCTGTATGATCGTCTAGGAAGAGTTCGAGTTCCTGCAGAGGTTGGTGCGCGGTTTGTACTACCCGCACGTCGTGGGCTCCTGGTACAAGCTGCTGGTGTGGCTCGGCATCAGCAATCTTGAGGACTACACTGTCTGGAAGAACATCGATGGTAATAACCACTTTAGATAAGTATAATACTAATTACATATCACTTTTTATTTCTGGGAAGGTACTCTTTCTTCTAAACAACGTGTATTTTATATTACATTGGATATTTTGCCCGAATCATTAAATTGGAGACGAGATTATTGCCACAGCGAGATTATTGCTCGGTGAATTTTCAGAAATTATTACTACGACTTGAATCAAAGTAGATCAGGGAGGTATTGTGATATTAAAGATTAATGTGCGTGGTGATTAATGCTCAGAACAATGTATGTGGCCTTGTTGAGGCCTTTACTCAGCAGACTTACTTACAGGCTAATGATGATGATGTTTTTTTTATCTTATATTACTTTATACAAAATAAAGTTTTTTTAAACCTACCAAAATTGTTACAATAGTGTAAAGGTGGGAGAGAATCCCTAACTTCCACGTGAAAGGCAGGATACTAACTACTACATCTGATTCTACGTGCTACCGAAGAAAACCTATGAATTAAAACATGTTCTTATACTAACAATTTTCTTGATTTCCAGGTGAAAATATCAACAAAACAGGTTTCAGCAAGTGGGCCAGCAGTTTTGTCGCTTTCAGGTAAATGTAGTTCATCAAAATCCTAATTTTATTCTATTAATTCTGTGTATATAAGACAATTCGTTGGAATCTCTTAAAAATCCAAAATAATAAATTGTGTTGCTCTGAAATATCAAAGATTTTTTTATTTAATATAATAGGTATTTAAATTTTAACAATAAATACAAAATAATACTTAAACTAAATCCTACCTGAAATATCAAAGAAACGACATTTAAAGTTTAATAATTGGTTTGTCGATTCCTCTTTTACTGAATTACATATTATTATAATATATAAACCTCCTCTGCTTTATTCAGAGTAATGACATAACCAAGTGTAAACTTGAACTGTTTTATCTATATAACAGCATGGACTACACATAAATACTTTAAAGAAATTTAATTTCTTTATATGTATATTTACCCACTTACTTAATTCAACGTCTAAACATAAACTTAACGCGATAGCACATTTTAGTTCATCGTCAGAACGTAATTCATTTGTCATCTTCGAAGATTTAATTACAATTCTGTCTCTTTCAGCAATGACCCCAAGGAGCCTCATTGCGCTGGGATGGATGCCGTCAACAATGGTCTACGGGACTACTGGTGCCACCTCCGCCAGCCCTACATATGCCAGCTGCAGGTGAACCCTAGCGAGCCTCCCACCTACAATCAATTTAACGAGCCCAGCAGCTAATATTACATAAACATACATACTTAAAATTTTTCGTTTGTGAGATGTTAATTAACTTGGAGCATTAGACTAAGAACATGCTTTAAGACACTCAGATTAGAACTACTCTGGTGATTTTTAAATAGAATTGAATGAATGGAATAACCATTTATTTTTAAATATATGCAATACATTGAGATCTTATTAATAAAAATCGTTTCACATACACTACCGTTGTCGGAATTATTTTTCACTAAATTGAAATTAGGCCCTAACCAACCTATTTGAACATAAAAACTGTTACTAAAATATCAAGGAGTGGAAATGATATAATTTTCTATTTGGATCACCTATTTATTTTTCCTAGCTCTGACTTAATGATCATCTAGCTATCTTGCTCATAATGATTAGGTTCATAAAAGCTTGTGCTGTCTCCAACGACATTTGAACAGACAGGCTGCAGTCGTTAAACCATTCCATATCCAATAAAACTTCAGCACGTTTTATTTCATGGTAATATTATGAAAAGGTCACCAGAGTTATAAAACCTCGCCATTTTGTATGTAGGTGGCGCTGGTGAGGTACCTATAGGTACTTAGGTAGCAAGTAGGAATCACTTTGGACTGACTTCACGCGGGATTATGTAAAAAATCCAATATAAATGTTAAAGTGAAATATTCGCGAGACGGGCTCAATAAAACTTGGATGGATTACGACTGAAGTTTTTAATTTAATCCTGAATGTATGGTATGAGAAATAAAAGCTTAGCAGTGGCTGCGAATTGTTTTATTCATTTGCCTGTCACGGCGCCATCTTCAAATAACAACAGCTTTGGACGACATGCCAGTTTAACTTTTATTGGTATTTTATTTGTTCTATTTAAGACAACTGTTATGGAGCTGAAAGTAACGGAAGGGTTAAACATCGCATGGTTCAAATTTTTTATTTTTTATTTTATCTATAAGTACCTACCCAAACGGGCACACGGACTAGCAGATGGTAAGCAATCGACGCCGCCCATGGACAGCCGCAACACAAAAGGATTTGTAAGTGCGTCTAGTGGTCATATGGAGATAAGACGTTTTGGGGATTCAAGGTTTAGGGATCAAGCGGTCGTAAGACCCCTCCATAAGCGACGGCACGGCGTCCTCACCTTCCGCGAAGGAGGTAATTGGATGATTTTCCCCTAACAAAAAAAAAAAGGATTTGCGGATGGATGGAGAGGGCAAGGCCTCTGGTAATCTTACTTATACGGCGAAACACAACGCTATGGTTTTTTCACGCCCGTTTTCTGCAAGACCGTGGTATCATTCAGGTCGAACTACTAATTATTGTCTTTATTCAACATATAAACATATAATTTACATTTTTAAATATTTATTTTAAATTAAAAATAAAATAACATTTAAAAATATAAAAAAAGTGTCCCACCGGTATCGGGAACAGGGTCCTAGCTACTGGCGGTCAGGGCTCCAGAGAAAGGAACCTCCTGACAATACGAGCCGTGTCCAGAAGTAGCACTTTCTGAATCAAGCCCTTGATCCAGCCACCTAACGAGAGCCTCCTAAGATGTTGGTCGATGCTCTTGGCTATTAAGCCATTGGCTAACACGACTATCGGTACAATGATAGCTGAATCCACTTCCCACATGTCGACAACCTAGCGTGCCAAGTCGATATACTTGATCAGAACCACTAATTATTTATTATTACAGAAACCTAAATCTAGAATAAGACTTACCTTAAGTTTTCTTCAGCGTCCTACCTTTACACGAAGAAGGCAAGTTATACCAAAGAACTAACTACAGAAAATACCTAAGTATATATTTAACTCTTTATTAACTTTATGTATAATTAACTTTAAGTGTGGGAGAGCCAAGCTTCGGCACGAATGGGTCGGCTCGACCGGAGTGATACCACGGCCTCACAGAATACCGGCGTGAAACAACCCACAGCGTTGTGTTTCGCCGTGTGAGTGAGGTTACCGGAGGCCCAATCCCTCCCCTTCCCCTATCCCTTCCCAATCCTTATATCCGCAACCCCCTATCCCCAAAAGGCCGGCAACGCACTCATAACTCCTTTGGTGTTGCGGGTGTCCATGGGCGGCGCCGATTGCTTACCATTAGGTAATACGTCTGCTCGTTTGCCGACTTATCCCATAAAAAAAAAACTCGTCATTGTAACAACATGTACCATATGTATGTAGTTTATGTTCTTTCATTTTCCATTCTTTCTTATAGGGGGAGGATCACGTCGCTTTTTATAACGACTCTCAATTTTTTTTTACCAATCCATGACATTATTAAATAAAGTAGTAAGCGTCTTACTTGAGCAATTGGGTTATACATGCGAATGCTTGTGCAGTACCGTGTGAAATAATGATTGAATAAAGATGAAGCTAAAGTAAAATTAATAAAATAACATAATTAATGAACCATTACACCATCAAAATAATCATTATTCATATCCTTTAACTAAAAATTTTGTTTAGTGCCATCTATAGGTGAATTGCTGAAAGTCTATGGTTCTAACCACGTTCCAACCATTACATTAGATGACTAATTTGTTATTTCTATTCATCACTAGATGGCACGACAATTAATTTTGTATGAATTATTAATCTACATTTGCATTGAATAAAAATATGCCCGACCATTTACCTTTTATAATTATTTTCAATTGATGTCAAATTTGGGAGGTAGTAGGTAGTTATTAATTAAGTAATTTTTTTCTTCTTACTAGTCACATGTGAGTACTGTGCAACACTGGGTTAAATGTCAATAAAGTTGTCAAAATGATATTAGTGAGGTTATAAAATAAATTTGAAAATTTCTATTTTGTTTTGTTAACAATTGTTATATAAATTAGTTGTTACCCTCAAACGAAATAATATCGGCGGCAAAAGGTAAATAATTATCTATAAAAATTTAATTGACCACAAAGAGTGACGAACGTTATTTTAAGTACCTAATCCTTTTTGTTTTTAGATGAATTTCTTGCGTAGAGGTTTATCGCTGCTTTCGATTGGTATCAAGGCGCAATGTAAACAAATACCAGGTAATTATACTCAAACATTAATAGTACTTCAAATTTAAATCTCATTTGATAACTAATTCTTACTAGAAAATATTATAACCTGCATACTTCAATTAATCTCATCTTTGCCCAGATACCTATCTCATAAATTGCAAAACAATGTAAAATACATAATTTTTAATATCAAGTAGTTACCAGGTACCTTACACTTAAAATTATACAAGATGCTGTAGGTAGATTCACTATGTCGCTATTTCTAGATTTAGGAACTCAAGGAAATAAATGAATCCATGACAAAAACACGAAAGTGTCTAAAAACCTATTATTAAAAATTATGATATAGGTATTGTAGAATAACCTGCCAGTGTTTTTCTATAGTAAGCAATCAGCGCTACCAACACCAAAAGAGATACAAGTCAGCTTTTTGTGGGTTGTTCAGGAATTAAGTATTGAATGAGGAGGGGAGGGGAGGGGATGATAATATTGAGATCAGGTGAACTGAACAAAATTAATATCATAATGTGATTGATTATTTTTTCACAAATTTTGGATAACTTAACTTATACTACTTAACTTTTTTGTTAAGAGAAACAATCATTATTCTGATAACGATTGCTATAACCCATAATCAACAATTAGAACTAAGCAATATTTTATCATATGTTAGTTAATTCATCACACCCTAAGCTAATGAAGGTGTTCGCGCTATTGTTCTTATATTGTATCTCTAAGTACCATGATTGAAAGTGTTTTTTTAATTAATTCCTTTTTCGTTAAACCTAACATTATTCTCATACTTGTATTTAACATTTCTTTACCCTCTTATAGTAGAAATACTCAGGTAAAATAATAATAAGGTAAAAAGAAGAATATTATTATTTTTTTAACTTACCCTCTATTGACAAAAATTAAAAGTGAACCTATGTGTTATTATTTATATTGAAATCCTCTTTCATTACATTACTTTTTGTATGAAGACTAGCTCCATGTTAGCTGGCAGAATAGAAATATCTTTGAATTTAAAGAAATAAAATACAAAACAATTGATTAAAAGAGCTGAGTCTGTAAGCACATCAATTTTTATTAACTACTATTACTATGAATATATTCTTGTATGTGGAAATATTTAAGTCTTGTGTCAGGTCACGGTTATATTACTCTATATTAGTATTACCGTGGCCAGGTGTATTTGGTCTCTCATAACTATTAAATTTATGTATATTGATAACTTAACCATTGAATCTACATCTACATCATCTATAAAACTGAACTCAATGTGAGCATGTATGTAAAATAATGAGTGACTGCTACAACGTTCCTGGACTTAAGAATATGTATCTTCTTAATAAAAATCGAAATTTGAGAGGACACTCATTAAAACTATGCAGAACATCCTCAAAACTGAATCCCTTGACACACTTCCTACCTAATAGGGTGGTCACGGAATGGAATAAACTCCCAGAAAATGTGATAAAAGCACCCACAGTTAATTCTTTTAAAAACAGACTCGACAAAATCTCCAAATGCATTAATACGCACGCATCAGCTTTCTAAGCTGCTAGTGTGTTCAAGTATATAATATATATAATAATAATAATGTATACAATGTACATGCATGCATGTACACACTATACACACACATGTGTGTGTATAGTGTGTTTCTGTGTGTCTGTGACATATTAAAATGCAGGTAGAAAGATATTTAAAGTGATGGTTGTACTTATTGGTTTTTCCTTAATAGAAACAATTTTTATTTGTGTGTTAGCCAACCTGGCAAACTCAACACCACCTTAAAATTTTTTTAATAATATTTTTCTGTTACTTGTTTAATACAGCACAGAAAGTTGTCGTTTTCAGTATGTCACACTCATTTTACAATAGAAACTACATTGTGTCTCGCTTATATATATACATTCCATCCATGTTACCACGAGTTAAACCTACCCTGGACCACAAATATTACAAGACCAAAACTAACTAAGTCAGTCTAGCCATTTCAGAGTTTTAGTGCGACTAACTAATAAAAATTCATTAGAAGTTTAGGTATACATTTATATTTAATCTTTTATGAATCTAATATTAATTGAGCTATAGCTATAAAAGTGAGGATTAGTTTAGGTATTGGTTCTTTTCAAAATATTGAAAAACATATGTATTTATATATGACTATATGTTATATTTTAAAATGTACCGATAATATTAGTATTCAGACTAAAATAATTATTTTATATTATTATTTTTTATATATATACCTATATATCTTGTTGTTAAAAAAATGCATTTGAGTTTGCATTAATTTGCCATCCATATAGAGCTAACGATTTTCGCGTCACCGTTCCAGCGTATTTGTTATCTTCTTCACCCTAGTATCTGAAAATAGCACTACAGCAATTTTCTTCCCACATCCTTTTTATTCGCTTTTTACGTTTCTTAACATTTTCACGTAACTTTTCGTTGTTTCGGGGTTTGTTGGTTTTTCAGGCTAATGTCACAACCACCAGTTTTGTCTTCAGGGCCACTTTCAGTGACACATTTCTTTTTTTAAGAAAACGGTTTTTAATTACTAGTTTTACTGAAAATAACGACTTACTCACGTGATTTGCCTGAGAAAAGCTTTACCTGGCTTCACCAGTTTCAAGTCACAACGGAACTTTATTCGTGAGCAGCGTCCGCATCGTGGCGACGTCGAGAAAACGCTTGATCGGCACCCTAAGTGGTATTAGTAGGATTCACTGGTTGACTAAACCTAGTCTTGTTCTGAAGATCATTCTAAAAGCAAAGTCTAGTCTCAGACAGCCTGCCCCTATAATCCTCATTACTCTATCTCGTCTGAATAGCTTGCTTGATTGGTTGCCTGTCAATTCTGATCTCCTGCTATAAGTATATATTAAATATATGTAGGTATAAACTTCTCTACTTGTTCAGTGGCGGCATTACATAAGTAATTTAAATGGAGGAGATTACACTTATTGCTGTAGCAATTTATACTTTCTTGAACACCATAATTTTGTAGGTCAACTCACAAAAAGTATAGAGATCTTACGATATCTATCAATTGTTGCGGACTATCGACATCTGCATCACAGTGCAGCTGCGACTGACCTCATGCTAAACTCAACCTAATTACTCAGCGCCCAACTAGTATATTTCCATGATCGAAGTACAATAATATTTGTCGCGCGCCTGTCATTTGGAACCCTTCCGCGTGGACACGGATTAAGTCTCTGGGATCGGTACGGTTCGCAGAAACAAAGATATTGTGTTACGTGTCGGGAAAGATAACTGTACTTTTGTTTCTGAATGTTTGAGTTAGTGATTACCTAGTCATATTGTTGGCTGAGTAAGGAAAGCATCACTATTTGTGTCATGTTACATTTTTTTTTTGTTTTTGGGAAATACACCATAAGTTCTTCGCAGTAAAGTTAAGCTCTTGATCTTTTTTTTGTGGGTGGATAATTATTAAATTATTTTTCCCGCCCTAGGGGGAGACGGAGTGTCAGACTCTTACTGACTAAAACTAGCCCGTTCCTTCTTCTGCTCCAGCGCAGTACATTATTGCTCTTGCTCTCGCAATCTTGGTTGAATAGCTGATCTTTAGTTAACAAAGAGGTTAAAATTGAGTAAGTACTAATTAAACAGACTTCTTTTATATTAGTATTAATCTTCTTTTATTCGCCTCTAAAAACCTACATTACTAAGGCCTCGTTTACGTTTGAGCGGCGCGTTGTGCGGTGCAATGTGCGGTTCGTCATACATTGCTCGTGATGTTCATATGTTTGTGTTTGCACGGCCGTTGACATGATTTGATCCTGTAATGTACGACAAACCAAATACGCGCTGCGCAACGCCCCGCGTGGACGTAACCGAGACCTAAGTCTTCCACACTCGACTTGGGTCAGAATAGATCTGTTTTAGTCACAGTCGAATACTTTTTATACCGGTTTTAGGGTCCCGTGGATCTTTGAACAATCTGAAGGTAAGCTAGAATCGTTTAAGTTAGATTAAAAATCTTTTCTGAATCAATTTATTATTTCCCATTGAAAATAACTCGAAAGATGATACACATTTGATAAATAACTCTGTTAATACATCAGTATTTAAATCCTACTTATTCTGCTAACCACACTCGTCCCCTGAGAAGTGCGAAGGGTTGCAATGAGTCAGCAGCTCTCGCGCTGACCGCAGCATCGGCCGGTTCCTAACGCCGGCCGCTCCATTCACACTTGCCATTTCATTATCATATTTTACGCTTTTGTAAGTTGAATCTATTTACTCAATTCTAAAATTCTATCGCCGCCGCCGTCATATTTGACACAAGTGAAATTCTATAATGCCAATACCCGAATGGGTACCTAATTTGTTATATCTTATACTGGATATTACTTCGAGACTTATATTTGACTGTACAAACCAAAAAGTAATTAATAACAAGTCCATTTAGTTATTAAGTAAGAGTCAACAAAGGTTTAGACGAAGGTGTAGTTTCTAAAATTATGTATTATAGCGTTTTTTCTTTCCAATGTATTATTTAATGCCTTACTACTTAAATAAAAACAAAGAAAATATCTGAATGCAGTGATTTATTGATAATAATAAACCCGGCTTTGTTCGGGATTAATGAGACTAATATTACACATCTTGGATAAAAAATTATCAACACCACCGAATCAAAACCAAAATGTGGTCAACAATTGAATTGTCTACAATACATCGCTGTTGTGGTATGATATGTGCAATGCAAACAAAGTAAACTATTATGCAAAAGTAATTGACATTTGAACAACAACGCCTTATTTTTATGGTATTGGTTGTTATCGCATACGGCCAAAGGTTTATAGAGAAAACTAAATATCAACGACAAAAGAAAATTATTTAAGCGTATCTATGAGCTAGGAACGTTTGTTTAGTGACATGACAAACACGACATATTGATTTCGAATCGACAACATATTTATATCCGTAAAATTCGGGAACATTTTAGTTTCCGAATTTTACGGATATAATAGTTGAGTTCCGAATTTTGTCCAGTCCTTTATAAAATATAATATATATAAACTTCCTTAAATGGAATTTTCGATTTAAATGGAATTTAAGGAAGTTTTCAATATTCCGAATTTTAAAATTCAATTTTTAAACGAATTTTCAATTTCCGAATTTTACGGATATAAATATGTTGTCGATTCGAAATCAATATGTCGTGTTTTGTTATTCATATAAGGTTTCGTTCGAGTCTAACGTGGCAAAATTATTAATATAAAATATAGATTGTAATCCCACTCTTTACAATAACAAGATACATATATAAAGGACTGGACAAAATTATAACAGAAAAATGTTATGTGAAAAAAATATCGTATGAAAAGCAAAGCTGCTAAGTAGTCGCAGGAGATTAACGCCTGATAAATTCCCGTTAAGAATTTGTAACAACTCAACTTCTTTGTCAAGTGGATGAATGACAATTGTTTCGCAATTGTCATTCATCCACTTGACAAAGAAGCTTGGGAGACTCACAATGGTCCCCAATCTTCACTTGTTGTCATTTGCCAGTTTTGTGATAGAATTGTTACATTTTGTACAGCTTGATCTTCGAAGGTCGAGATAGTTTAGAGTTGGAATATGAAAATGTATCTCTTGGGAAACATAATCCTATGATATTCCGTAAATCCGGAAACGCACTTTCTTGTCACTCCTCGAAGGCTAGGAAGGTTAAGTTAAGCCACTCGTTACACTTGAGTGTAACGAGTGGCTTTGGGCCACGCTGGTTGTTAACCGACTTCAAAAAAAGGAGGAGGTTCTCAATTCGACGAGTATTTTTTTTTTTTTTTTTTTTTTTTTTATGTATGTACACCGATTACTCGAAGACGCCTGTACCGATTTGCAAAATTTTTTTTTTATTCGATAGGGTATACTTGCCATTTGGTCCCATTGTCATGAGGTCAGGACCTGATGATGGAATCCTGGAGAAACCGAGGGGAACTTTCGAAAATTGTAGGGGCAAGTAGTTTTTTTGTATGATGTTTAAGTAGGCCTATAACAACACTACAACTTGACGAAGGTCGAAGTCGACCAGATGTTGGAGCTGGAAGACAGTCGAGGGATCTCCTTGAGTATTTGGAGTAGTTGCCTTGTGTTTGGGCTTGAATGATTCGTATTGGCGAGCACTTTGCACCAGGCTTGGTCGTAATTGTCATTAAGGGTCTGATGATGAGAACGAAGGACAGCTCAGGGAACTCCTGAACGGTTTACAGTAACTACTTCGTGTTTGAACCTAATTCATTTATATTGATGAAAACTTTGTACCTGTATGGATTATAACAACTGAAGGTCTGCAGTGTACCTGGCGATGGAGACCATTGACAGTCGAGGGAATTCCTCAACGATTCATAGCAGCTTCCTTGTGTTTGAGCTTAATTAATTCGTTTTGATAAGAACTTTACATCTAGATGGATTGTGACTGTCATTAGAGATCTGATAATGAAGACGAAGGACAGTCTAGGGAACTCCTCAACGGTTTACTGTAGCGACCTCGTGTTTGGACTTAATTTATTTATATTGATAAGAACTTTCCCTCTCCTAGAGAGGTGGCCTGTGACCCAGTAGTAGGAACATTAAAAAGGCTGATGATGATGAAGATGATGAGAACTTTCCCATTTCTTGGGATCTATATTTTTTAATAGAGCGGCTCCTTTCGCAGGCCTACACATAGGTACTTAATGAAATATATACTACTCAATATGTTAATTTATATTTAAAATGTTACTGTAGTTTACAGAAGAACTTGTAACAGACACTAAAAAGTAAAAAATAAAAAAAACTACGTTTAAAAAAACCGACTTCAAAAACAAAAAAGTGTCAAATAATTTAGATATTTTAATACCACTCTTACGTACGCGAAGCTAATACTTTTAATATTAATAATAAAACACTATCAACTCTATGTGCTACCTATTCATAGGTTTGAAGTCGGTGCCAAGCCCTAAACAGAATAAAACTAAATGAGAATTAAGACTGTTTAACTGCTAAAGAACGAAATTTCCACAACTAACAACGAAGCTACCTACTACTACTTTTGACAACCCACGAGTTACGTTTAGTACGAGAAAACTTTCAGAATTCATAATTCACCCGAATATCTTTCTAAGCTATATATAATTTCGCATGTAACGAAACCATATAGACTTCTGATTCTACGCTAAGGCCATCAATCAAATGCTTATTATTATATTATGTATTAGGCTTGGCACCGACTTTAAACCTATGAATAGGTAGCACATAGAGTTGATAGTGTTTTATTATTAATATTAAAAGTATTAGCTTCGCGTACGTAAGAGTGGTATTAAAATATCTAAATTATTTGACACTTTTTTGTTTTTGAAGTCGGTTTTTTTATTTCAATAGAAAAACCTAGGCACATAATACCCCATAATGTGCCTAAGTTTTTCTATAAAAAAATATGTAGAAAATAGCTATTTAGATGAAATATCACCAAGGCATTTTTAGATAAAATTTTTAGTTCCTTGGAACAAGTAGTTTTTGCCGAGCAGTTGTATGTCTTTCTTAGTCCAAAATGTTGCACATTTCTTTTTCATTCATTTGCACCAGTTATAATTGTTATCCTTACACAAATATGATTTACAGCGTTTCCCAGAACGTGAAGCTGATTGCTAACTCTTTCCCATTGTATGGTGTACCCGGTTTTTGCGTGGTCTCCATGAAAAAATTCTTTGTATATCTGTGTCCGTCATCTGTGGACAATGCCCACTATTAGCGGATTATAATCCGCAAAAAGAGCAGGTACTGTCGTGTGGCCAGGCTGTGGCCCAAGTGATGGGATGATGTGACTGCGGCTCAGAGACCGGGAGATTGTTGCAAATATTCCATTTTAATAAAAGTAAAACACTGTTTAATTGCTAAAAATGAAATAAAGTGATATCTGAATGATCCTCTTGATCAGTGAGCTTAAAGGAGTCTAGTCTTTCAAGTGTGGGAGAGCCGTGCCTCGGCACGAATGGGTCGGCTCGACTGGAGAAATACCACGGCCTCTCAGAAAACTGGTTACCAAAGGCCCAATAATGCGGGTAGTTTTGCGATTTATCGTATTAAGGGCGTGAGATATGGAAAACCAATATGGATAATTTTATTGTTAAAACAGATTGCTAAGTAGGCTACAAAAAATAAGTAATTTTGTTTCTTGCTATTCGCTATCGCCTGTGCCTTGTGTTGCGATATTTCCTTGCATTAGCAGATGCAAGGATGTCAATGATCGTCATCGTCCCACGGGATCTGACGATTATCCCAAACAATACCAGTCCGATGCTGATGCTGACCAATACATGACAAGTGTTTAGGGAGTCAGTTTCTTCTTACATTTGTTATTATAAGTTCTGCATAAATACTACCCATTTCTGATCTTTTGGTGATGGTGATTTCCTTCCTGAGTTAAAATGTGCTCACAGAAAGACAAAATCGTCCAGAGACTTTAATGAAAAATGATCACTTCGCCTTTGTTCGATTAATAGAAATAAAAGTAGTAGCGTAGTGCACAAGGTCATAAGGCTATTGTTCGTCTCAAAATGTATGAGTTGCATGTAACATATTTTGAGAATTGTTTCTTTTAACCTGAAGTAGGACTAGGGTCACAAGAACGATCATTGAGCGTTATTGAATTTCAATCATTGAATAAGTATTGCTTTGATGCACATATGGGTTACTGATATACAAAGTTTTACCGATGTACCGTTTGCTTGTCCTGTATCCACTCCGGGTTCCCACAAGTGGCCACAAACTCTTCTTGTACAAAGGCTTACAAACTGGCCAGCTACATTGACATGTCAATCACATCGTAATGCGAATCGATGTGCAATCCTCCATAATGCCCACAATTGACACAATGTGTTACGAGAACGCCTCGAAACTTCCTGCAAACCCAAATAACTGTTTTATTATAGCCCTTTCATTTAATTCCACGATACATAGCATGTGTACACAATACATGCATTTTTTTCACTCTTGTGCTTAACGCGTTATAGTTTACCATTGGTGCATACATTCTTCGATAGGACAATATGTCTTTAGCACCTGCTTTTTATTGTGAATATTGTTCCCGTTCAGTTCGTAACGGTACGCGAGATAGATGAAATTGGCCATGATTTTTGCGTTGTTTCGGTTCATGCACGATATTTCTTGTATATTACACAAACTTTAGGATTTCGACTGTTTGGCTAACTTATCAGCCTTGACGTTTTACTAGAAAGACATGACCGATTGTAACAGTAGTATGCCGTTATGGCTACTAGCTCTCTGGCCAGGAAATTCTTCTCGATGTCCACTGATCCCTATACATCATTGGCCAGAGAAAGAATCTGTATCAATGAATTTATTTATTTAAGAACCGAATACTACCCGAAAAGCAAAACTTACAAGTTTTTCAAAGTATAAAAGCAACATGGGAATGTGTCCAAACACAATACAAGCAAAATGTGGTTTGATCGTACCTGACCGGGCCGAGAGTTCCTGGGAATATAAAGCTCCACATCGGGTGATATTGTACGCGCCACTTGTATCAGCTCCGGGGCCGGCCCTGGCTCAAGCGTGGCTTCAATATCATATTTTGTATCCTGTGGACCAAATATTGAATTAATTAAACGAACAGCCAACAAAATAAAGACCGCATTGCGCTTGCCCCGCAACCCCGGCTAATCATCGACCCTATTTCAGCCTTACTGTGATGGTGTATATAAAGTAGTACGTTTAACGATGTATAGTCTACTTTTGTTTAAAAATAATATAGCTGTATTTACATTTAACTGTCATAAATCATATTAATTCTGTTATACTAATATTAAATTCGTTTAGTTCCAGCGCTGCCCGCTCCAACCGCCGCGGTGCCAACGTTCCAGCCACTAGGCATACTGTCCAGAGCGATGGCTTCGCTCAATCAGATGCATAGAACAGGTCCTCACATAAAATTAAGGAAGTCTAGGAATCCGCTCAATGGAAACCCTTTTGCTAAGGTAAATTCCTTCGATATTTCATTCTGTTATGTTCAATCTCTAGACTCAAGTGTTGTTAGTAGGAGACGATCCCGCTTATAGTAATGTTTGTTACACGGAGTAAGAACAAAGAGGAGATGTCATAATTAGATTTCCCTAAGAAACACCGCGTGATATTTTGCGGGGTGAGGGGGTATTAGACTCCGCCCACTTTTTATTTGCCATCTGCCGGTCTATAGCAATACTACTCGCTCATTCAATTTACTTCTTTTTGTAGTTATGTAACTATTTCACAATAGATGTCACTAACGCAACAGGGTCGTACTTAGAATTTACCGGCGAGTTGTTTTAAAAAGTTTTTTGTAAATACATTTGCGAATCATCGTGATACGCATATTTTTATCGAAACAGTAATAAATATCTAAAATATCTATTATTGGTGAATGAGAAGCATTCTACATTTATCAAAACTATCTTTTTCATTTAAAAGGGGTTATTTCGTTACGGGCGTAGCCTGAAGCAGAAACTCGTATACAATGCTACCAAGAGGCTGATGCCCTGCTGATAGCTGGTTTTTGTGATAACGAGTGTTATTATTAGATATGTCATTACCTACTTTACTAATGTGCAACTTGGAACGGCATATACGTTTAGACTGGTGCCATCTTCAAACGTACGATTCAGGGATGCGTCGACGAAATAAAAGACTCCAAGTGTATTTTCATAGGTCTTGAAGAGACAAAGCCTCTATCTATGATAAACTACTAGCGGCCCGGTACGTGCTTCACTACGTTTATGTATATCATAAAATATAATCAAAAATATATTATCATGTTCATTTAACAAAAAAAAAATTATCGTTTGCTATGTAAAACTCTAAACGAGTCAAAAGATATATTATTGAAAATTAATGGCATTGATATAAATGTTCTTCGGTGCTATTGTCTGATAGCGTGTTCTGTGAACTAGGTAATCATTTCTGCAATTCTAAAGAATATTCGGAAAAACACATTCATTTAATCAACTCATCTATAGATTGCGCAATCGTATAAAAAATATTCGGTAAAATGACCGATCCGTCGGTACTGTCGATTGGTATTTTGCTATCACCAATCCAAACTAATATTATAAATGCGAAAGTAACTCTATCTGTCTGTCTGTCTGTCTTTTCTTCACGCCTAAACTACTGAACCTATTTGAGTGAAATTTGGTACAGACATAGTTTGGAACTCGAGAAAGGACATAGGATAGTTTTTAAACCCAAAGTCTACAGGAAGTCACTATTCCACGCGAACAAAGTCGCGGGCAAAAGCTAGTTTCTAATAATTGTTTTGAAAAGTCATGGGCAGTTGCATCATTACGTAGCTGAATACGCATTATTACTAAAGTTATAGTTAAGTATATATCTCCAAATAACTGATGACTTCAAACAGGTTTTTCATCAGCAGGAGTTGATCGAGGAATGACAGGCAATGTTTGACGAAAGCCCCCTGACAGCAATATCAGAGCACCACGAAAAACCTGTTGAGTGCCGTGTAAATTTTGCATGGTTCGATTAAATGCTTCTATTGATTTTTTATTCGCCATTATATGAGTGCATCCCATAAAATAATTGACGTGTGCAGAACGAAATGAATTGAGCAGAATTTCTCGAAATATTACAAGTTGCACTTTTAATCACCTGTACATTCAATAGCAATGCTAATGAAGAGTGTGCGGTCCTACCACCTTCTAATAATTTAACAGCAATCGTCTTAATTTGTATTTCGTGTTCGCCGGTTTTACCTCAACAATATTTTGGATCATAAAAACACAAAACAATAACTCAACAATAGTTTGGAACAATAACGAACATTACATCTAATTAACTAGTGGTATGTTAAATGCTATTCCAAAGCTAATAATACCACCAGATTCTTCATATATAACACATCCTAATGCGAAATGCCATATATAACACATCCTAATTATCTTCACGACTGTCATAGGTACTATTTACCATGAAAAACGAACAAAACCTGCCCTAATGTGACGACATATTTCGAAATAAACGAACAATGCAACGAAAGATATGTATGAAGGACAGAGTATGTTGTGGGCATTTCATAGGCTTATGATCCAAGTCCTGATGCCCTTAATTTGGGGTTGAAATAAAAACCGAAGAGGAACTTTAGAAGTATAAATAAGGTCGTTCAGTTTCAAACACTCAAGCACTAAGATTTAGCACTCACAGCGTGCGTAAATAAATCAACGATATAAACCTTAAAAAGTAATTGACTCCTAATTACTGCCCTGTCTTTATTTATGTTTTACTACTTGACAATAGATGGCTGTCTGTTTATAAAATGATATAAAAGTTACATAAATAATATTTTGGCGATTAAAGGATCTTTAAGAATGCATGTCGATCAAATTACTATACAAACGATCATTAAAATATACTAATACTGAACTATGCGTACCTATAAAAATGTTGTTTCTATGATACAAAGTGTCGACATCTAGTGTCGCGTAGATTGATAATTGAAAACGCTGACAATAAGAGACTTTGCTAGAACTATTTTAATAAATGACGAATAAAATAACTTATCCATGAAAAGTGGTGCCATCCATAGCACCGTAACGTTTATCATATAATTTTTTACAAGATAAAATACAAGACTTCATTTTGTTTTCTTCTGTCACGAGTAAAATGAATATTTTATAGGAGTTGTGCACAGGACGAACGACCACATTACACTGACGTAAGCCACGCCCACATTGATGACGTGAGGGCCGACTTGTGTCACAGGGCCGAGTTGTTTAGGCCGTCTCCTCTTTGTTCTTACGCCGTGGTTTGTTAATTGTGTGTGTTAGTGAAAGTTTAATGGTAATTTTTTTTTTTTTTTGAATTTCGTATCTCACTCTAGTTTAAGTGGTAGGTACTTCCGAAGCCTAATTCTTGCTAGAATATTCTATACTTCAGATGCTATAAATAACATCTTGAAATTCCAGGGAGTCGTGCTAAAGACACTGATAAAGAAACCAAAGAAGCCGAACTCTGCCAACCGTAAGTGTGTGCTGGTACGGCTCTCGAACGGCAAGGAGATGGTGGCGTACGTTCCAGGCATCGGGCACAATCTACAGGAGCACAATATCGTGCTCGTCAGAGTCGGCAGGTCTGTACCCACTGCACTAGTCATACTACGAGTAATACTGGACACATCCATGCTTTGAATATTGATACTGGCGCTACAATGAGTAGACTTACTAGATGCTTACGTATTTCAGGTTGAAGGACTGTCCTGGAGTGAAGCTGAAGTGTGTGCGCGGCAAGTACGACCTACCGCAAGTAATCAAACAGAAAGTGTAGTTGCAACCTAGTCTAGTAACCTTAGTACAATATATTACTTGATACCTTAAAGAATACTGGCCGTTTCATTTGTAACTCGCGTGTATTTTTATAGTTAATCGCCAGGCGCATGAAATTAACGAGATTTTGTTTGACAGATTCAATACTTACTGAGTACATAATTAGTAAAAATTATAGATAGATATTTTAAGAAAAAATATTCTCGTTTGTTTACCGACTTGTTGACAGGTATTGGCGTGCTCTATTATGCTATAGGATGGCACTCATTGCCGGACGACTATGCAAGCCACACCTACCTTACACTAGGTTACAAAATACATTCACTTTTTATTTTAACCGGAAAAATACTAAACTACGTTTATATATTTTTTTCAATTATTTAATCATTTTCAGCCAGAAAAGTCTAAGAAATTTAGCGCATTATGTGAAGTAAAACTAGATCGGGCCAAGAATCAATCCTTGTGGAACACCCATCTTAATATCCTGGTGACAGAACTGAGGCAGATTGTTTTAGAATATACGGTGCAGAACCTAAAGACTCATTATTCCTTCTTCGAGGTGCAATCATTTGCGAGACAACAGCGTGTGTGCATTTATTTATTTGTTGCAAACCGCTTTTTACGAAGTGACTGAAATGTAATTCCGCCACTTGGTAAAAGAGGACCTTTTACCAAGTGGCGGAATTACATTTCAGTAGATTTTTTATTGTAAGTAGATGCGGGTTGTGAGTGATAAAAAGGGGGAAGCAGCAACTCGTGTTGTTAAATATTAAAATGTTACTAACTTAGGATACAAAATTCAGGGCTAACGTGTGTTTATTTCTGTAATTACTAAATATATATTTAAAATGTGCATGTTTTGCAGTCGTTGATTTTTTTTATTGGGTCGATTGGTCGAAATTTCATTTCTATTTATCTTTGGTCAATGAGCTGGAATAAAAATATTGGGTTCGTTTTGGTCACAGCACGAATTTGGTGTGAAAAGTATTGAAAATAGCGCCATTTTTTTTGGGTCAAAAATTGATATCTGAAGTTTTGTTAAATAGAATTTATCGAGCAGTTATCAAAAGTTTTGCGTGTCATTTTGTTTACTATCCAATTGGGTCGAATATTCAAATCTGGGCTTCGTTTTCGTCACTGAGCACGATTTGTGTTTCTAATGTTTGGTTGTGTATTAAATATGTAGCTTAAGTATCTGTACCTAAAATATGCATATATATTATATTAAGTAAAAATCTCTACTTTTTATTATATGGTATTCATACATTTATTTAAAAGCCAAGTATGTATTCATGTATATGTGTACGAGTATATCAATATCAATTAGGTGAAAAAGTATACTTGTCGAGTTTATTTCCTATTCTTTTTTTTCTGAATAATTCGTTCTGTGGCTTAGTCATGATGTGTGCCTAAATCATGGCCACTGTCACTTTGTTGTCATACATATTTGGATTTTCTACTAAAAGAGATAACCGAACATTTTGAGGTTTTCAAGTTTAATTCATTAGTGGAACAGTAGAAAACCACTCAAGGGAAATCAGTTTGTAAAGCAGTGATATCTTCTTCTTATCAGTCTGCCGAAATTATTTTCACATTAGATACGAAGCGTAATTAATTGGGATTATCGGAGCAATAGTCGATTTTGATTTATGCATAGATAGGGATATAGGAATACTACTAGGAACTAAGTACTCAGGTAGAGGACCCGACAAGAAGCCCTGGGAAAATCCATTTGGAACATAAACCCAGCTAGACATGTAATAAAGAAAAAACAATAACAGTAACAGTAATCACTGATGGACACCATTAAGGATCTGTTTTTCCAAAGTAGGTAACAAGCCAGTATAGCAAATCACCTCTATTAGTGTTGAAAAGTTTTACTTTTTGAACGTAATGATCAATTCTGTCCGACACTGCTATGATCAGGGGAAATGAGTTCGACTAATCCATATATATCTTTTTTCAATCCATATATATCTTTTTTTTTTTTTCTGTGGCAACACTGGCGTTGACAGCTGATTTAAGATTGTCCTTGTTTTTAATTTGTTTAATTATTAAAATATATTAATTTTAAATACAATATTGCCTAAAACCATCTCATCACTGAATTATTAAATGTAATTTATAAAGTTTTCAAAGTTTGCTTGCTTTCAAAGTGAAAATTGTGAAGTTAATAAATGTAAGGTTACCGGCATTAAGGATTTCGCTGCATTGTCATCTCGATATCAGGTAAAATACAGTATTATTTCAACGTAATTAGCTATTTTGCCTTTTTATTTTCGTGTTTACATTGATTTCATGTAGTGCAACAAACATTCGCGGTCAAAATAACAATAAAAATTACCCTTTTTGTAGTTGGTGGCACAACTTCTTTGTCTAAGCAAACTTTTACTTAACTTATCTAGTAACTTCCTTACCTTAATTTACATAATAATTTCAGCTTCCATTATAACTTTCTAATTCTATCTCTTACCTTTAAACTTCCAAAATGATTCTCACTCGCAAAGCCCATGCTCGCCAAGAGGAGTCTAAACTCAGCCTGGCTTTGAGCGAATTGAAGGCATCAAAGGAGTTGTGTGATCAATTGTTGGGGGAAAGGGATGACAATGAGAGGGAATTCTTGCTTATTTTGGACCAAAACAAGAAGCTGAAACGTGAAATGGCTCTGTTAAACATTCAACACACAGAAGCCATTGAGGCCCGGGATAGGCTCCAATTCGTTGTGGACGAATTCAAGCAGTGTAGCGAGGAGTATGAAACCACTTTAAATGACAAAACGCTACTAAAACAACAGCTACATGAGGCCAACAGTCAAATTTCTGAACTAGAAATATTAAACTTAAACATCACGGCCGGCTTGAATAATAGTTTATTCAGTGAATTGGTGTCAGCCCAAGCTTCTCAACTACAATATAGTGATGTAAATTTAGATTTAAATCCATTAACTTCAAATCAGACTACAGATAATGATGCATGTCACCCAGTGAAATTTGTTAGTTCTAGTCATAAGAAGCTTAAGAAATACATAAGAATCAGTAAATTTATAACTAAAACAAACAGATTAGTAAAGAGACAAAAGTTCTTCATAAAAAATGTAAAATTAAATAGAGAACGTTTCCAGCTTCTGAAACAACTTAGTTTATACTCATCAAAATTAAATCAAAGTGCTAGGAAATATGAAACTGATACCCAGAGCCTGCAGTCAGAACTAGAACAATTAACATCAAAGTTAGAAATAATGTCTAATAAATATAGTGCTTCAGAAAGGCAGATGAGGGAATACATGTTGGCAATGAATGAGTTGGTAAGCTCGCAGGAGAAACAGTGTGAGAAGTGCACTCCTGATGCTATACTGCCTGCTCTTTCTGTGCCAGCATGTGAGACCACCTTACCTCATGGTAGAGGTTTACTGTTTAATAATTGTAATCCTAGTAATCATAATATTGTCATTTTCAGTGATGAGATTGGAAAGAACTTGGGTTCAATGTTGACAAATGAATTACCTGGACAGTCTACATTTAATCACTGTATGCCCGGCTGTAGTTTTGGTAATATTTTGGATAAAATTAATAAATATAGATTTAATCCAGATTCTACCCTCATTATAATGTGTGGTAACAGAGGTAGTCTTAATAAAAAAAGTTTAATCAATTTCCATAATTCACTTGCCAAACTGAATTTTAAGGGATAAACACGAGATAGTGCTGTTTGCTGATGATACCTCACTATTATTCAAACTCAGACGACGACAATTAGTTATTGACAATGTAAACAGTGCTCTCTCAGAAATAGTTCACTGGTTTGGTGTTAATAACTTATTACTAAACGAAACTAAAACTAAATGTATTAAATTCACAACACCAAATGTTAAACAGGTAAAAACCAGTGTGCTTGTCAAGGGCGAGGAGTTGAGTCCTGTAGATACAACTGTCTTTTTAGGTATAACCCTGGACGCTAAGCTCCAGTGGGGCCCTCATATAGATGGCTTGTCGAAGAAGCTCAGTTCTGCAGCATATGCCGTTAAAAAAATTAGAAATTTAACAGATGTAGATACAGCGCGGTTAGTTTATTTTAGTTATTTCCACAGCATCATGTCATACGGTATTTTGTTGTGGGGGAATGCTGCTGACATTCAGTCTATTTTTGTTCTGCAGAAAAGGGCTATTCGATCAATCTATAATCTTAGTCCGAGGCATTCGCTCAGAGAATTATTTAAGGAAACTAAGATAATGACGGTTGCCTCACAATATATTTATGAAAATGTAATTCACGCTCATAAAAACAAAAGCTTATTTAAGAAGCATAGTGATATACATAATATTAACACGAGGGGGAAAAACAAATATGTTGTCCCTGCTTCCAGGCTTCAGAAAATAACTAGTTCGTTTAGATGTCAATGTATACGCTTTTACAATAAAATTCCTAGCGATATTCAAAATTTGAGCCTCAATAAATTTAAAAGTGTAATAAAGGCTAAACTTTGCTGTAAAGCATTTTATAAAATAAAAGACTACTTAGAGGATAGTCAGGCATGGGAATGAGCCGCTGTAATGTCTGCACAGGTCATGTTGACATGTTTGTAACATAAGTTACAATTTTATTTACAATTTGACATTACGTTTATTTTTTAATTTTTTTTTATACAATGACATAATCACCTATTGTGACATTTTATTTTTTATTTGACATTTTTTTTTATTTATTTATTGACATTTTTATTATTTTATATTATTGTTAGTGTAAGGACCGTGTGAGACTTGCCGTGCTTTTTGATTACCAGTTATCTGCGTTCTGACAGTTTGAGTACTTGCGCGACCCACCCAAATGTTCTTTAGATCGGTATTGTTCGTCGGACAACTCAGCAGCACTAGCTATACTGGTTGCAAACTGACACTTGCGTGCCTGTCTTCAGAACGGGTCCACTTAAACTGGTGTGGTTCTTTCCTCAAAAGACCACTACAGAATGAACTTGCACGATTCTCTCACATTATGTTATTTTTACATTGTCTGGACTTGAAAAGAGACTGACCTCTGAGTTTGTTTCGGCATTTCTTCTCAGAGTAGTCAGATAGGAAATGCCGGCTTCATCTAGTTTTTCACATATAAATTGACGTGTAAAAGTGCCGTTTTATGGCCTATTTGCAAAAATAAATTCATTGTTTCATTGTTTCATTCATTGTTTCATTGTTTCATTGTATATGCTCTTAAAAAATCATCGAGTACAACCAAGTGAGAACCTGTTGAAAATCGAATATTTTTTTATTAATTGACTGAAGGAAAACAAAATTGATAAAGAAGAACTATATCTATTTCATTGTTGATAATGAGTAGAGCCAGCTTTTGAATTTATTTCTTAGGTTGGCGAGGATGTAGCGATAATACTCAAATATTTAACCTCTATTTTTTTAAAGTTGAGGAAAGTTGAACTAAGTCCATTATTCCATACTTGGATAGAAACTTGTTTAAAGTCGGATACTGGAATTGCCAAAAAGTGGCTCAATACGGAAGGCACTTCTCTATCATGAGAGAAAGGTGGTTTTTGTACTTTGTAAGTGTACATTGTCTCTCTACAAATGAAAGTCTTCTATTGCATCTGGCACATGGATAATGATGTACCCCAACTAGTGTCAGGGTTCTGCTTCGCCGCTACGTTGTTCTTCTCGTGCCTGCGTCGGTAACTGCAGAGTGTGTTCCACTCACTCTGGCTACCAACCATGGCCACCATAGTCTCCATTTTACTACTAGGCTACGTCAATGTTCCATCCAATCCGAGCACTTCGCCAGCGTATGGAATAGACACTTAAAAGATATTTCCTAAATTATTTAAATATTCCTTAATCCTTCTCCATTCTCCATTCTAATCCAAAATTATTTATATATTCCGAAAAGACTGATTAGAAACCAGTGACAAGCTCAATATTGTAGTTAATTAAATAGTCCAGTCTACATGTACCTTATAGTTATAAGTTGAAATTTGACTGCATAGCTCCGTATCAAAACAATCAACCTGTATAGGTTATACATCATAAGCCAATGATGTATAAAACTATAGATACGTTGTCCGCGCTCTAAAATGACAACATGAAATGAAGGCAATTGACAACATCGCGCTTAGGTACGCACCAACCTGCCGCGCGACGCGACGTTTGTTTTTAATTTATATCGTGTGTGTAAACCTGTGCGAAACATAAAGAAAGCATGCCGTCGTGTGTGTTCAGACGATGTACAAATTATACTCCAAAAGTTAAATACAAATATGTGTCATTTCATGCGTAAGTTCACCAAACAACCTACTTATTTTTATTTAATTTTTTTCGACGCCCGCCATCTTATGGCGGCCGGCAGCTACGTCACTCGTGCGCTCGACCAATGAAAATGTAGTTTTACTATTACTTATCCTGTGATGTAACTGAAGATGTATATTTATCTCCCTCTAGCAAAGGCATTCCACTATACGATGTCATAATTTCTTTCCCTTTCTTTAGTCGTAGAAGTAGTTATCTAGTATTTTCGCCGTTTTTAAGCGCCGCAATGTTGGTTCATGACGTGTCTATATATAATACGTCATTGTCATAAGCCATATAAATATGATCATAAGCCATATAAATATGATATTTTAATAAGCCAGTTTTAAGGTCTCTCCGATTGCCCAATCACTGCCTTACGGATATCACCAGTCCACCTAGCTCGAGGACAATACATTTGCCTAGACTCTGTCTCCACTTCACAACATTTCGACCCTAACGGTCATCGAATAATATTGTCATCGACAAGGGCAACTGCAGGCCACGCGTGCTTGTGCGTACGATTCGCCACTGCGTGTCGTATTCGATAAAATCGTTTCGAGTCGTCGTTTCCGGTAACAACTTCGCATGGTATACGGTAAAATAAATTTCTCGAACACGGGATTTTCCCGTATGAACGCCGGGTATGCAGTTTTTAAGTTTCATCTACGTTCTGTTGTCACTTCTCTATTCGATAAAATCTCGTATACGGTGTCGGGAAAATAACCGCCTTGTGAAGTGGCCTTTGTGTTGAAATCGGTTATTAAAGGATCAACGTTTCGAAATAACAATACCGGCTGGACAGTTACTCCAGCTTTATACTCTCAGACAATTTGAAACACGTCATATTTAGTATAAAAAGTGGCATTGTGTAATGAAAGCGACAGATCCTATTAACCGGACCACCGTGACATCATAATCGCAGTAAAGAGTTACATACACAATGCTACTGCCGGACGGCAGTTGCGACATTAGTGTCGCCCGGCCGGCTCCAATGTACCGTGTGTCGTGGATATGCGCATGAGTGGCGTGCTGAGATGCCGCGGAAATGGTTTCAATGTACATTGTTATTGGTATAACAGCTCGCACTGTCCGTCCCTCGCTAATTGAAAATGTTGACCATTTGTTCAGTTTGCAAGTGAGCTACGAGAAATATCTTCACTGCAAGTTCCCATGCCGAAGTTTTGGCAGAAGATAATGGCAAGACTGTACAATGGTTTATAATATACAATTATATACGGCTTAGTAGCTCCTGTACCTTACGTTTATCGTGATGATAAAGGTTTAGAAAATAGCAAGTTCACGGTTCAAAAAAGTTGATTATATTACAATGTTCTAGTTCATGGATTCGTACATAAATATTTTAATATACTTACTTAAAATTTACTGACTCTATCAGTAATTGACTAACGTTGTTTCATATATTTGCTTGTTGATGATTTTGTTTGTCACTTCACGTTTTGTTCTCCACGCAAATGTCTTCAACTTTGTGCCAATTACCGCTAACTGGGAATAATCTCACATCTAGCGTAAACAGCTATTGTGCGGATACACATTGGGTAATGTAAATCTCATCAAAACAAGCGCATCATTAGTAATTGATCGTTTTTCGTGGTAAGCTATGAATACAGTCGCTCAGTCAACAGTCCCAGCAGTAGTCCCGGAGCTGTAAGTTCATCAGTCTGTAGCACAATGCTGGGCGCGGTGAATGGGCTGTCTGCCCACGTCGCCCACCGCTGGATAACATGATCGATCGATTGCATCGGTAGCTATGCAGCGGCAATTGTGCAGTTGCAATGTAATTATTTGTGTTTCCGGTCTTCTGTACCCAGCTACACCATCGTTACACTTGACACAGACACACAATCACATCGAGATATTACTACTTCTCTCTGTCGGGTTGTAGGCTGTCCACTTGGCTGTCTATAGAATATACACGTCGTCAGAGAGATCAATAATTTTTGAGTTAATACGGTAAAAAATAAATAATCACTCCTAACCCTACCATTACATAGCCAGTGCGGTAACCCTTCGCTGTCGTAATCATTGACAGCACGCTGACGACTCGAAATAACATCAAGGCTAAAACTCGCAGTAACATCTCAGAGAAAACAGATGGGCTGCTGATATTGATTGACTCGACAATACATTATTGATGTGGCGACGTGTGCAGTTGCTCACACCGCCCCTCGCGGGCACGCAGCATGTGATGTACCGTTGCTTGGCAACACACGGAAATGTGTGCAATACTGTTGTGTACTGTAATGTTACAACCTTACTGGGTATTTTTTATTTGAGTATCACTTGTTACATATCAGTTTTTCGCGCGACTTGCGACTGTGTGTGCTGGTCAGGACGATATTTTCTAAACCAGGTCACCACTGAAATTAATCTTAAGGCTGCAGATATTTGAAATAGTTTTTTTTTTGTGAGGGGAAAAATCATCAAATTACTTCTCCCGCCCAGGGCCGGGCGGGAGGGAGTGTCAGACTCTTACTGACTAAAAACCCCCCTGTTCTTTCTCCTGCTCTGGGCCGAGGTTGCGGTGCCTCATTGCGCTTACCCCGCAACCCCGGCTGAA